AAACAAACCACCACGTTCAGCTAATTGTTTTAAAATTTTGGGTCAGGCATGGTGGTGCACGCCTGTAATTCCAGCACTTGGGGAGGCTGAGACGGGTGGATCACGAGGTCAAGAGATCAAGACCATCCTGGCCAACATGGTGAAATCCCGTCTCTACTAAAAATACAAAAATTAGCTGGGTGTGGTGGCATGTGCCTGTAGTCCCAGCTACTAGGGATGCTGAGCCAGGAGAATGACTTGAACCCAGGAGGCAGGGGTTGCAGTGCGCCAAGATTGTGACACTGCACTCCAGCCTGGTGACAGAGTGAGACGCCGTTTAAAAAAAAAAAAAAATTGACCAGGCTTGGTGTTTTCCACCTGTAATCCCAGCACTTTGGCAGGCAGAGGCAGGTGGATCACTTGAGGTGAGGAGTTTGAGACCAGCCTGGCCAACATGATGAAAACCCATCTCTACTAAAAATACAATAATTAGCTGGGCATGGTGATGGGCTCCTGTAGTCCCAGCTACTTGGGAGACTGAGGCTGGAGAATCACTTGCACCCAGGAGCCGGAGGTTGCAGTGAGTGGAGTCTGCACCACTGCACTCCATCCTGGGCGACAGAGTGAGACTCCGTCTCAAAACAAAAACAAAATAAAAACGAAGGATGTTGGCTTCCCTCTCCAGATTTAAGACCTGAAATTCTGAAGATGACACTTGGTTTCCCATTTGTGACAAATCCTTGGAGTTACCATACTGGCATTCCATTTGAATCAGGATATGGGATTGTTCCCAGCATGAAAACCACAACCTGGTTGATAGTTTCATAATCAGGCAGGTCAAAAACCAGCATCTGTCCAGCTTGCTGTCTACCTGTCGGCACGAGCCTCCCCGCAACCAAGCAGCCAAACAGGGTGGCAGTGGCTCTGTTCAGCCAGCAGGGCTCTTACTTGGTTCTTATTTACAGCTTTATAGATAGCGTACATTTTAAGGAACATTAATGTATAGTAACAACGCCTAATTTGTTGTTTTGAACAGGCCAGCAGATACATAGAGAACGTTTTAAAACCTCACCGGGAAATGAAATTGAGAAAACTGGAGGAGCGGTTTTATCAAATGACGGGTGAAGCCTGGAAATTAAGCAGTGGTCACAAACTTGGGGTTGGAAAATATTCTCATTTTATATTTTGAATCCTCTTACTGTGTTTCCTATTACATGATTGATTTGTAATTGAAACTGATGTTAGTCTGTTTTTAGATTTTATTGATAATGATTGTATATAATTTTTTGTTCAGCATACTTGTTTATCGCATGGTTAAGGGGTTGGTGTTTGTTTTTAAAAGACAGGGTCTCTCTCTGTTGCCCAGGCTGGGGTGCAGTGGCACGATCGTAGCTCACTGCAGCCTCAAACTCCAGGGCTCAAAGGATCCTCCTGCCTCAGCTTCTTAAGTTGCTAGGACTACAGGTGCACCCTACCATGGACTGCACCTGGCTGGTGAAGTATTTTTTGGTGCCTAAAGAGCACATAACTTGGTTCCTTAAAAAGCTGTTGTGGTGGCTCACGCCTGTAATCCCAGCAATTTGGGAGGACGAGGCAGGCAGATTGCTTGAGACCAGGAGTTTGAGACCAGCCTGGGCAACATAGGAAGACCTTGTCTCTAAAAAAAAAAAAAAATTAAAAATTAGCCAGACGTGATAGTGTGTGGCTGTAGTTTCAGCTGCTTGGGAGGTTGAGGCAGGAG